TTATTTCTATATGCAAAATATATTTATTCATCTAAAAGTTCCCCAAAATTTCATATCTTTCCTATTTTAACATCTTTAGTTATTTAATATAATTTGATAATGGACATAAATAGTATAACTTTCCACATATAATTGATTATATAACTGGTAAATAATGGGGTATATAAATAATATTAACTTGAAGCAAATACTATTTTTTAGAATCATGAATTGTACTGTTTTTTTACAGTTCATAAATTTTGCCTTTGTGAATATTTTCAAGTCCACTATACCAGGATAATAGCAAATGCCCAGTGGGAGTTAGTTTATGACTTCCCTGAAACCCACTCCACTAAACCAGGGCCCCAACTAGTCCTCCCTTTCCAATGTGTAAGCACATAATTTGAGAAGAATGAATAGGTTTCTGCACAAGCACAGCTTTCAGACAGGTCCTTAAAGCACTCTTTTCTATTGTTACCATCTACTAAATACATTGTAGATACTTTGAAGACACTTGAGAAATGGTAAGATAAAATTAACGTTATGTTTGTCTGAATATTTTAATCATCTACTAATCTGGAAAAATAATTTTTTAAAATAACTATAATCACATGTCATTTTCACATAAAACAGGTATAAAAATCCCTCTATTTCATATATTTATTAGTTCTGAAATTAGCAAATAAAATGAAAAATGGGTAGTATATATCACTCCAGTGATTCTAGCACTGGTTTGTATATTAATTGTTTTTTGTTTTTAATTTATCTTTTGAACTGTTTTAAATTTATCCTCAGTCCATTCTTCAATTAGTGTTTATACTAAAATATGATTCATTATTTTTAAAAAGTGTATAAAATTGTGATTTTAATATTACATTTTTCATTCTAATACCTATACATATGTAATTACATTTCATGTACATTATTGTAATAGCATAATTTTATTTTTAACTTATTGCATAGCTAGTATTAGTTGATCATTTTTTCAAATTGATTCTTATGCTAATCTCTAGATTGAAATACCCTTAGATATATATCTCAATATTTTCCTTTTGTGCCTATTAATAACAGGTAAACTATTCACTCAGGCTTATATAAATCCACATTCCCTCAGCATATTTGCAAAATATAAAGTTATTTTTATATCCTCTACATGGTATTATTTCTAGTATTCTCTGAAACCAAAGAAAAATGTTAATAAAACTAGAATAAACATCTGACTAACTAAATACAACTTTTCTAACTACTTTCATGTGTCTATATTCTTTCTTTATACTACTCAATCATATCAACTGTATTATGAATGTAGTCATTGCCTCCACTAAAATCAATCTAACTTTCACATGTTATTACTATGCATAATTATGTTTGAACATTCATGTAGCTATATATATATAATATATATTTATAAGATTATTTTTCTTAATATAGCCAACCCATAGATGTATTTTATAAACACAGCTGGATCAAAATAAGTTTTTCTGTTTAGCTCTTATCTGTCCTTAAGATTTAACATGTCAAATATTTATTAGATGAATCCAAAAAAAAACCCCAGAATTTATTTTTAAAAAATTGTATATTTATTCTTACATGCCTAAACTTCAGTCACCTTCGAAATTTCTCCATCTGATGTTATATGCCAATCAAGATTTTTTTCCACTGGTCAAAACAATTTTGAACTCATTGATTTTAATGCTTCTGCCATTTTTTGTTTCACCTCTTCCACATTAGCAAAATGTTTCCACTGGAGGATTTTTTTTAAATCCAGGGAAACATAATAAATTCCCTGGGGTGAGATTGAGTGAATAAGGAGAATAAGGAATGGGGGTCATGGCATTATCGGTCAAAAACTGCTGGATGTGCAGCGTGGTGTGGGCAGGTGCGCTCGTAAATTGCACATCATAAAATGGGCAAATGCATTCAAAGGTTTTTCAAAAAAATTCATTGAAAACTAACACAGACTCTCACAACAACAGCTGGTACACTGATACAAATAGGTTCCTAAAACACTTACCTAGCATTTTTACCTTTGTTCAAATAATAAAGCATAATATGCTGAAAACATTCCCTTTTTTTCCATCTTCAATATTAAAATGGCTACACAAAGTGTTCAGCTTCCTAAGTTTGATGCTGAGCACTTATCCCAAGAGTGAAAAACCAGCACTACAATTTGGCTTTCCTTTTTTGTGCTTACAGAGGATATCTTCATTTTTTGCTTAAAATAAAGTGTTGACTATTCATGTGCTTGTTTCCTGGGTTATAGTATTTTAACTGAACATACATTCCAATGAAGTACAGTTTTTATAAAAGTATTCCTAGTTTTGGGGATAAATATAAATGTGGATCTAGGTAAACAGAAAATACTGGATTTAAAACTTAGGATTGTTTTCTCTACAATTTTTTTAAAATAAATGCAAGATCTTAGCTCACTTTGGCATTAATTATTGCATATAATGAAATAAGAGTTGGTACTTGTATGAAGTGTATATCTCTTTTCTTTAACTCTAGAATAACCCCTTTGAGGGAGTTAGGGTTGAGAAGGAGAGACATGATCCTCAGAGAAATACTGCTTTTTTGCCTTCTTCCTTCTTCCTTCCTCCTTCTCCTTCTTTTCCTTTGGTTAATCTGATACCCCTTGCTATATCTGCAATTCCAACATGATATAACCACCAGATGAACACAGACTGAGTATTACGGGTCATTTTTGCCCAAGCCAGGCCTCCTTAATGAGTGATGTCTTGGATTAGGCTTTATGTAGATGTACGTATTCAAGCATCATGAAAAAAATTGCCTGCCTGTATTTTGAGACATAGTTTAAATATACCAAATTACCAAAAATGTAAAAGACAGGATAATATCAAGTTGAGGTGATCTGTGGTAAAAGACCTATCATATGAAGAGGGTAATGTGCACAGTACCTCAGAAAACATTTGGAATTACCAGGGAATGTTGAACATGTACATGTTCTATCATTCCATTCCCAGACAATACCTTAAACATTCACTCAGAAGATGTATGCATGATTATTTATGACAACATTGTCCTCTGTATTAGCAGTCTTTCTCCTTTTAAGAAATATTTGGCACAGTCTACTTTAGATTTCAAAGCAAAATCTGTGCAAAGATATTTGGGTCTGGAGATTCATCCATGTCAAAAGAGTTCTGTATGTTCATGACTTGGTTAAAAAAGTTACACAACCGGGATGAATCTTGGAAACATTAAGTGAGGGAAACTAATCACAAAAAAACATACAGTGTATAATTCTATGTACATGAATTGCTTGAATAAGAAGATCTAGAGACAAAAAGATTACTCTGTGCTGGGGGCTGGAAGGTAAAGGGAATCCAGAGTGACTGCTAAAGAGTATGGGGTTTCTTTTTGAGTAAATAAAATGTTGAAATGGGAAAAAAAGCCACATACTTTTGCTTGACTTTTGAATTTTCCTTAGGACTTCTTAAACTCTCCAACATGGCATAGAAGAGTTTTGGAAAGAGAAGAGTATTAAGACATGGATAATATCTAATATACTTTTTAAAATATAATTAAGATAAAATCATTTAAATGTTTTGTATCAATATTCAGTGAAGTGAGGTTTATAGTTCCATATATTTTGTTAAACTCTACTTCCCCAAACAGTAAGGGGAAGAAAGAAATTAGTAAGTTTTTAATCAATAGGGTTAATGAAAAGATAGTAATAATAGATAGGAATGGGAAAAGGGAAAAAGGTTGGAGTAGAAAGAGAAAAAGTAGAGAAACCATTCCTAATAATATAGATATGTCTATAATATGTGAGTTACTAGTTCCCACAGGGACTCCTGAGAGTTTGTTCCTCTACCAGCTCAGTCTTAGGAAAGACCTTTGGTCTCCATGTTTACTCTGTTTACCGTTCTTCCAACTGCTTTAAAAATTTCTACCTATAATTCTAAAGTCATTAAAGAAATATCAGCAATACTCTTAAAATTTAGTATTATTTTAATACAGAACATTTATACACATACCTCCTACATACTATATATTTATAGTATACTATACACATTATATATATAATTTTATATATAGATAAAATTATATAATATTAATTATATAATTTTAGCAGTGGAAAAATACATTATAATATTATATATATAATTTATATATATATAAAATGAATACATGCTTAATATCTATTTTTACTCATTTAACTAATGTAGATGTTTAGCAGAATTTGGAAGGGAAATCTATGTTTAAAAATGTTCTTGAACTGATAAATTGGGCTACTTAGGATAAAATGATTTTCTTTTGGGAAATATTCCAGAAAGATTTCATGATGGATTTTCCTATATGAACACCAAATAATTGATACAAAGTTATATGAGTGGGAGGGTCTTGTAGAACAGGCTTTTTTCACTAGGTTAGTGTTCTAGGGACTCATCTGTGTCAGTGTACCAGCTGGCATTGTTGTGAGAGGCTGCATTTGGCTTCAGTGATTTCTTTTTTTAAGACTCCTTCAATGCTTGCCCATTTCATGATGGGTGATTTATGAGTGCACTGCCCACAACACACTGAAAATCCAGCAGTTTTTGACCAAAATAGTATGACCCCCAGACCCCTCACTCCCTATTCACCCAATCTTGCCCCAAGCAACTTTTTTCTTCCCTGGGTGAAAAAAATCCTCAAAGGGAAACATTTTAATGATATGGAAGAGATGAAACAAAAAATGGCAGAAGCCCTAAAAGGCATAAAAATCAATGAGTTCAAACACTGTTTTGAGCAGTGGAAAAATACATCTTGACTAGTGTACTGCATCAAATGGAAAGTACTTTGAAGGTGACTGAAGTTTAAAGATGTAACAATAAATACACACTTTTTATAAATAAACTCCATTTGGGGGAGAGTACCCCACTGTATATACATTTGTGTGTATATACATATATATGTGTGTGTATGTATGCACATATATATAGCCACATATATATATATTATTATTATTTTTAATTACCTAAAAGAACTTTATGGCCAGGTATTACTTAATTACTACTTACATTGTGCTTTGTGAGATTTGAGATATTAGTAGCTATTGCTTGTAGCCAGTCAATACAGTCTTCAGCAGAGAGGCACTGAATAATCCCACTGGAAACCCCATCCACAGCAATGACTTGAAAAGCATTCTGCCTGCAGATATATCAGAACAAATCAGATCAAAACATCATCTCATTTATCATTAGATCTGCTGTAAAGCTCTTATTTCAAACAATATAAATACAGCTTCAGATTCAGATTTGCTTACTTCTCTTAGTATCTCTATTTTAAAATGGGAGACTAAAGATAAACTAAGACAACATGTAGTTTTGAATTACTAGAATACATATTGAGATTCAGATAAATTTAGACATACTGAGTTATGAAATATGTATTATGTAAATGTGAGCACTTCTATTATATTTTAGGATTTTCATAAATGTATGGTCTCAATGTACCATAAAATTATACACAGAAGTTCATCATTTTGGCTATCATCGTCCCTTCAATTTTTTCAAAACATCTTATTTATAATTGAAATATCATATAAAAACACAAATATTAAATATGTGAAAAGTCACCTGTTATCAAAAGCTGCAGTATTTTGTCAATTGTTAAACCACTTTCAATCTCAGTACACTCACCTTCTCAAAGATGGTTTGGAAAAAGAGGCCCTTGTGGCTCCTCTTCAGGTCTAAATTTTCATTCTCTAAGTTATGTGAATGTTGTGAATTTAAATAGCAATTAAATTTTCCTTAAAATGTAATAACCATTCTAAACATCTCTATGATCTTTTGTTGATTTTTTGTTGTTGGAGAAAAGTGATGCCATTCTAAATTTTTTACCAGAGTGCTATAGAATTTAAAGCAGCTCTGTACAGCTTTAATATTTACTTTTTTTTCTGTATCAAGTTTTTCATGTTTAGATATCAGCTTAAAGAACAGGAATAGACAAAAATCTCAAAATAAATGGAAGTCTACCCAATGTCTCATGCTTGAGAATTACTCTATTGCACAACACAGTACACTTCAGAAAATGGACCAATTGCAGTTAAATTCTATCTTAGGACTGGGGATTTGATAAATGCCTTTTGCCTCAAAGACACTGTGAATCAAGATTACAAATATTTTTAGAGAAACTAGTCCTCATATCTTTTACCAAGAACTTTCAAGTGATAACAAAAAAGTATTCCTTTTTTTTGTATTATCTTAAAACTACATGAAAGGCCTTTAAGAAGTACAACTGATGTTTGTCTCTGAAATAATCTTCTGTTGAACTGGTGACAAAAATATGCATAACATGAAAAAACATAACTACATAATTTTCTTTTAATTTTGATAATCAATAGAGAGAAATATTTTTAAAATGTCTAGACAGAAGCTTAACCATCCTTGAAAAATGTGAACTAATTTGAGTTTAGCAATATGCATTTCTTTCCACTCCTGGATAATCACAGTCACTGTTTCATGTACCACATATTAAAGCATGTTTGATCATGTTTGTTCATTCTGCTTTCAATAAATCATAGCAGCTTGTTATCTTAGCTGATTATAGTTAACATACCTAGATCACATCTGCAATCTATGTAAATATATATGTAAGATAGGTCCTAGATAAAATAATTCTAAACAACCTTTTATAAATCCAGGTTTGTATATTAATATCTATCACTTTTTATATTTGGTTGATTTGATAAAAATCCAATCATAAATATAAGTGAAGTAAATAAAGCCCTGGCTGGATGGCTCAGTTGGTTGGAGCACTGTTGGGAATCAACCTGCCTGGTTTCAGAAACTGTAATCTCCCCATGGCTAAGGCTGAGAAAGCAACCTTCAGACTGTAAGCCACTAAGGAGACAAGGCTTATCTCCCTGGCAGGGGTGCCTCTTCTTCTCCTTTTTTTCCATCCATAACTGGCCCTCAGTGCTTGGTCGGTTAGCCAATGACAGGTAAGATTCCCCAAGGGGGGAATGATCTAAGACAGGGATGATCATGTGGGAGGCCTCCAGAGAAAGATTTAGGGGGCTAGGGAGAAGGGGCGTGATGGACCTTCATCCCTCAGCTTCCACAAAGCCTGAGTCCTCATTCTGTCTTCGAGAAGTCTCCTAATCTCTTAGCTGCCTTACTTCCCCTGCCTGACTTAAGCCTGAAACAATGACAGAGGGTGGTGCAGCTCTGTGCTGGAAGGGGCAGGTTCCCTGGGCAATCAGGCCTAAGAAAGAATATGTAAAATCCTGTGAAGCCTGCTTTGTTTAGAATGCTTTCAATTAAGTGATAAGGGTCCAAGCAAGAAGTAAGTTTGTTCCTCAAAGTTTTATGGCTCTTTAGCTATCTGACCATAACTCAAAACAGTCCCTCAGAGTTCTTTGTTATCTATTGTTTGATCCCTACTGCCTGAAAATGATTAATGAGCTTCACCTGTATTCCTGTGCAAATTGAACTCAATAAAAACCCATTGAGGAAAAGCCTCTAGGCCCTTCTCCTTTGTGAGATTGGCCCCACCTTTCCTCCCCAAGCAGATCCTGTCTTGGTAGACTTATTGTCATCCATGGCAGCCAGGGGCCCCTACAGGCAGAGCCCCCCCACAGAGCACCTTCACTTACACTGAAAGGTTGTATGTTCCATTCCTAGTCAGGGCACATACCTAGTTACAGGTTCAGTCCCCAATTGGGGTGCTTACAGGAGGCAGAAAATCCATATTTCTCTCTTACTTCATTGTTTCTTATTCTCTTTCTCTCCCTTTCTCTCTAAAATCAATAAATATATCCTTGGGTGAGGATTTTTTAAAAAAATAGCAGTAAATAAATAAATAAATAAATAAATAAAGTGAAGCACTTGAAAGATTTCTTTGCTTACATATATATATATATAAAAAAAGACTCATTGTAAAGATTACCACCTGGCACATAGTCGTGCATTTACTATTCAAGAAATGAGAATATCGATGAATTAGTAGTTCACTGGGCCTCAATTTTCCTTAAAGGAAAATGAGAATAATATACTTTACAATTTAACAAGTATTTATTGAATAACTGGTGGACTTCAAATACGTTCAAACATCACTGAAGTTTTATGAATACTTTTCTTCTGAATAATCCATTAGTATGTGGTCATGAGAGAAGTATTTAAGAGCATTTAGTGAGAATATCTCCACATGTACTTCTTGTTTCTTTTTTTAATTTTTATTTTTTTTATTTTAATCATTGTTCAAGTACAGTTTTCTCCCTTTTACTCCAATTCAAGCCCACTCACCCAACCCTCCCCAGTTCCCTACCATTACCACCCTCCCCCTAATTTTTGTCCATGTGTCCTTTAAATTTGTTCCTGTAAACCCTTCTCATTGTCCCCTGAAATTCCCTCTTCTCTCCTCTCTGGTCACTGTCAGTCTGTCCTCTATTTCAGTGTCTTTGGTTATATTTTGCTTGTTTCTTTGTTTTGTTGTTTAGGTTCTTGTTCAAGGTGCAATTATATGGTATTTGTCTTTCACTGCCTGGCTTATTTCACTTAGCATAATGCTTTCCAGCTCAATCCATGCTGTTGCAAAGGGTAAGAGCTCCTTCTTTCTTTCTGCTGCATAGAATTCCATTGTGTAAATGTACCATAGTTTTTTGATCCATTCATTTACTGATGGGCATCTAGATTGCTTCCAGCACCTAGCTATTGTAATTTGTGCTGCTTTGAACATTGGGGTGCAAAGGTTCTTTTGGATTGGTGTTTTAGTGTTCTTAGGATATAATCCCAGCAGTAAAATTGCAGGGTCAAAAAGCAGATCCATTTTTAGTTTTCTGAGGAAGTTCCATACTGCTTTCCATAATGGTTGTACCAGTCTACACTCCCACCAACAGTGCACTAGGGTTCCCTTTTCTCCACAACCTCTCCAACACTTGTTGTTTGTTGCTTTGTTTATGATGGCCATTCTGACTGGTGTGAAGTGGTATCTCATTGTGGTTTTAATTTGCATCTCTCTGATAGGTAGCGATATTGAACATCGTTTCATGTGTCTTTAGATCTTCTGTATGTCCTCCTTGAAGAAGTGTCTGATCAAGTCCTTTGCCCATGTTTTAATTGGATTCCTTGTCTTCTTAGACTGCAGTCGTGTAAGTTCTTTATATATTTTGGAGATTAAACCCTTGTCTGAGGTATCATTGGCAAACATGTCTTCCCATACAGTTGGTTCTCTTTTTATTTTGATACTGTTTTCTTTAGCTGTGCAAAACCTTTTTATTTTGATGAGGTCCCATTTGTTTATTCCTTCCTTTATGTCTCTTGCTTTAGGACACATGTCAGTAAAAAAGTTTCTGTGTGAAATATCTGAGATTTTCCTACCTACGTTCTCTTCTGGGACTTTAATGGTGTCACGGTTTATATTTAAGTCTTTTATCCACCTTGAATTTATTTTTGTATAAGGTGTAAGTTGGTGCTCGAGTTTCATTTTTTTGCATGTAGCTGTCCAGTTCTCCCAACACCATTTGTTGAAGAGAACATTTTTACTCCATTTTATGTTGCTGCTTCCTTTGTAAAATATTAATTGACTGTAGAGACTTGGGTTTATTTCTGGGCTCTCTGTTCTGTTCCATTGGTCCATGTGCCTGTTTCATGCCAGTACCAGGCTGTTTTGATTACAGTGGCCTTGTAGTATAGTTTAGTGTCAGGTATTGTGATCCCTCCTATTTTACTCTTCTTTCTCAAAGTTGTAGCAACTATTTGGGGTCATTTATGGTTCCATATAAATTTTTGTTCTATGTCTCTCAAATAAGCCATTGGTATTTTAATAGGTATTGCATTGAATGTGTAAATTGCTTTGGGTAGTATGAACATTTTGATGATATTAATTCTTCCAATCGATGAACACGGTATATGTTTCCATTTGTTTGTGTTTTCCATGATTTCTTTCCTCAGTGTTATGTAGTTTTCTGAATACAGGCCTTTTACCTCTTTGGTTAGGTTTATTCATAGGTATTTTATTTTTCTTTCTGCTATTTCAAGTGGGATTTTTGTCTTGATTTCTGCTTCTGCTGGTTCATTCTTGGTGTACAGAAATGCCTTTGATTTCTGGATATTCACTTTGTATCCCGCTGTTTTGCCAAATTCATTTATTAGGTCAAGCAGTTTTTTGGTGGAGTCTGTAGGATTTTATATGCACACTATCATGAC